CCGCCATCGTGCAGGGGATAAGCCGACGTCCACCTAAGTCTAATATCGTCAAAACAAGAACTAACGCTGTGGACGTATGCGAAATCCTTATAAGTGAAACACACTTGGGAGCAAGAAAAAAAACTCGTTTAATTTTTTGCTGAGAGTTTGTTTTTGATTGAAATAAATCCGGAAGGTGTCCACAACGTAAGCTCTTTTTTGACATAGACGTCGTTCATAGAGGAATTTCTTTATTTTCTTATCCTTTGATCCTGTTGAAGTTATGCTTTCAGATTTTCGCGTTCTATTCCAACTGCTAGCGTCACACTCCCAAAGCGTTTCAGCTTCCCGCTTTGCGTAATTTATTTATTTATTTATTTATTTGAAATACTGCCAACCCTTGCGGGTTATAGCAGGAGTGGATACAGTAATATATCAAACAAAATACAGGTGACACAAGAAATTATACATAGAACAATCATTCTCACAGGTGCAACTACTCGTCAGCAAACCAGTTCATCAACTTTTCTTCAAATTCTTCAACAGACGTGACGTCCGAAAAAACACTGGGGGTAATCGGTTCCATTCTTCTATTGTTTTCACAAGAAACGAATATTTAAAAATGTCAATATTGGGCATAAATGGGTCAACTGACCATTCATTGTTTAGTCGTCGAGACCGTCTTCCAGGAGATCTGATATAAGTTTGCGTGTCAATACGAAGATATTTAAAATACAACAAATAAAAAAACTTCAGCCGCGCAATTCTTCGTCTTGACGCTAAGGACGATAATTGGGCTTCCCTCAACAATGCCGAAACAGACTCATGTCTATCGTATTTAGAAAAGATAAACCTGGCTGCTAGCCTTTGAATGCGCTCCACTTTATCTATTTGAGTTTGTGCGTAGGGGTCCCATATTATCGATGCATATTCCAATGTCGGGCGCACTAGAGTTTTATAAACGTTGGTACGGATATCGGAGTTCGTCCCTCTTAGAGATCGCCTCATAAAACAAAGTGTCCTATATGCTGAATTACATACATTTTTAACGTGCGTATTCCAGCTGAGATCACCCGAGATAGTAATACCAAGATACTTAATAGTGTTAGAACGTTGCAAGACTACACCATTTATTTCATACAAAAACATCAACGGAGACTTCTTTTGGGTTATGCTTAAGACAGTAGTTTTATCAAAATTAATTCGCATATCCCATTTTTCACACCAGTGAAATATAGTCGTCAAGGAGTCATTCAATAATTCTTGATCATCTACAGTTACTACGGGGATGTAAACCAAACAATCATCAGCAAACAAACGCACTTCTACAGCTGGGTCGATATCTTGAGCGATATCGTTAACATAAACCAAAAACAAAACTGGCCCCAAAACAGAGCCTTGGGGTACGCCAGACGTGACCGGTAAAACAGATGACGCATGACCGTCAATTTCAACGTACTGTGTCCTATCAGATAAGTATGATTTAATCCAGAGAACCAAGTTCTTATCAACACCAAGAAGCAATAACTTTTCAAGTAACTTTGAATGCGTGACTCTGTCAAATGCTTTAGATAAGTCAATAGATACAACATCTACTTGGCCACGTACATTCAGCACTTTTCCAAACTGATGAGTTGATTCAAACAACTGGGTGATAGTCGATAGCTTCCTGCGAAAACCGTGTTGTTTATCATAAAAAAGGTTTCTGTCTTCTAGAAAATCAACGAGATGTTTAGAAATGATGTGTTCGAGCATTTTGCAGCTTGTTGATGTCAACGATATTGGCCGGTAGTTTTTAACTTCAAGATAGATTTGTGAATGGGTACAACTTTGGCAATTAACCAATCCTTTGGTAAGCAACATGTATTTAGCGACTGTTGAAAGATAATGGTCAAAAAACGTGAAACCGGTTCGCAGTAACGCCTCAGGAATTCATTTAGGATTTTATCTGGTCCCGGTGATTTTTTTTTTGTCAATATTTAGTAGTAAGGCCCTCACTCCCTCGTAAGTAATTTGAATAGGCTGTGTTTGCAGACTGGGTTCATTGTCAGTCAGGTCATTTACAGATGTGCCCGCTGAAAAAACCGAGTGAAAGTAGCTATTGAATTCGTTTGCTACGGTAAGCGGATTATCGCATATAGCACCGTCTACATAAACTTCTTTTATAACTTTCTGCTTAGGGGACAGATGCTGCCAAAACTTATGAGGCGACGTTTTTAAAATCGTATTCATCGTATTAGCAAAGTAGCTAGTTTTGGAATCTTTGAGTTTCTTTTTCACATCACGGCTTAAAGAACTAATTGCTAATAAGTTCCGGTGCTTACACAGTCTCTTACGTTTTAATCTGCGCTTTAAGTGGATGATCTCACGTGTGACCCAAGGATTTGTCTTATTAATCTTTTTTATTCTCCGAGGAACATACGCTTTTAGACAGTAGTTTACTGCTTCCTTAAAGTGATTCCAGAGGCTTTCAACGTTAGCGTCCTGGCGAAAAGAATCGAGAGAATAATCCAAATAATCTAAGACAGTTGTGTCCTCAGCTTTTTCAAAGTTGTAAACGAGTGCTGTATTCTTTTTCTGTTTTTGAGGGGGGCTATTTTGTGTTACCGTCACACGCACCAGCTTATGATCTGAAATCCCGTCTACAACAGACACCTCGTACTCACGAAAGCACGTCGAAAGAAAGCAGAGATCTAAAATGGAATTTCGTGGCCCACACGTTCTTGTGGGTTCCCGGACTATTTGATCGAGGCCGGGTTTTAACAATATTTCTAGCATGTAATCATCTTGTTTCCCACCTGACTCTTCGACAATTTTGTCGTTCCAATTAATGAGGGGGAAATTAAAATCTCCAAGAACTATTAATTTAGTGCGTTCATTAACATTGAGTTTAAAAAAATCATCAATTTTTTCAATAAAACTGATGGCCGAGGATGGCGGTCTATATACTCCGCCGACCAGAATGTTACAATGTTTTAAGAATATCTTGCACCATACACTCTCATGGTCTGGGATATGCTTTACAGCCTGATACCTCAAGGAACGCTTTATAAGCAAGGCAACACCCCCACGTCTAGTGTCTCTGTCGCGCCGCAAAATATCGTAACCGGGAGGGAATACTTGGAAATCTGATACGTCGTGACGCAACCATGCTTCCGTTATCACTACAAGATGCGGGTCATGATCGATTAAAACAGCTTCCAGTTGGTCAGTTTTATTCATAACACTTTGCGCATTTAGCGTGACTATTATCAATCTTGAAATCTCCTGATGTCATTCTTTTTCCGATGCAGACGTGGAACTGGCCGTGTGTGATGTGTTTAACTTTACCCTCCGTTCTTTTTCAGAATCCCAAACGTATGCCACGTCATCAACGTAAAGTCTGTCATTAACAAGTTTAACCCTTACTCCTCCCAGTTTTTCGTCGTGTGCTGACTCCCACAGTTTCTTCCTCGTCTGCAACGTTTCTTTTGAAAAGTCATCGGAGATTGACACTGCAGTTCCTTTTAGTTTCTTACAGTTTTTAAACACAGACACTTTTTCATTATAGTTGAATACCCTTAGAACTACAGGTCTATTTTTGCCTTGGGTGATCCGCCCTATTCTGTGAATTCTTTCGACTGATGTTAAGGACACACCCAGTTGCCTGTTAAAGACGTCATCAAGCACCTTTTGTTCCAGACTCCTCCTTGTTTCTCCAGGTTCCTCGTGAATGCCGAAAACTATAAGGTTGTTCCGGCGGGATCTATCTTCAAATTCAACAAGCCTTCCGTGTTGGTGTACAATAGTGTTCTTCAACAACTGTACTTCGCTTTCCAATTCACGAATTTTGTTTCCATTTTCGGTGACTGTACTTAGAACCCCGCTCAGCCTATCTTCAATGCTCTTGAGTGTCTTGTTTACATTAAGGTTGTCACTTTTAAGCTCCTTAATGTCATTGGCTATTTCAGTCTGTTTTTTCAATATATCCGGTAGCATTCCCATAGTCTCCTTATCGGGGCCCGGGTTTAATTCGATATCACCAGAAAGTCCCAAAAGCAGTCTACTAACAGCGAAGCATTCACATACGCATTGCAAAAACACTCGTGGGCACGGCAGGACAATCAATCCTACACAATTGCTACGATAGCCCTTATCGTTACTGACCTGGACAAGAATTGCAGTTGGCCTGTCAGCTGATGCTCTCACGGCAGAAGCGCTGTGCCCACTAAAGTCTGTTGGAGACAGCATCCAACTTTTATGCAGCACCGAAGACGCTCTTTGTCGGTGATTGGTCCCAGTCGTTGCTGAATCTTCCAGCACGTGGCCAAGATCGCCGGTGCGGAACGGCAGGGTGACGTTGCTTGTTGACAGAAGTAATTCTGTCTGCGATGGTTCCGGAGTCGTCGGCCGCGCGATGCTAAACAGAAGCACCAGCACCTGGACAAGAATTGCAGTTGGCATGTCAGCTGATGCTCTCACGGCAGAAGCGCCGTGCCCACTAAAGTCTGTTGGAGACAGAATCCAGCTTTTATGCAGCACCGAAGACGCTCTTTGTCGGTGATTGGTCCCAGTCGTTGCTGAATCTTCCAGCACGTGGCCAAGATCGCCGATGCGGAACGGCAGGGGTACGTTGCTTGTTGACAGAAGTAATTCTGTCTGCGATGGTTCCGGAGTCGTCGGCCGCGCGATGCTAAACAGAAGCACCAGCACCTGGACAAGAATTGCAGTTGGCATGTCAGCTGATGCTCTCACGGCAGAAGCGCCGTGCCCAATTTATTTACATGGGCCAAAAAACACGATCTCCTCAAAAAGATTAGGCGCACGCAGCTTACGCGTTCATCTCTTCTGTATAAGTCATTAGTGTTGCGTTGTCATTGTTTACATCCTGTCTATTCGCTGTTATCAAGCCGATAGCAGTTTCCCTGTTGACGTCACTAGTCGTGGCGTTCCCTATATATCTGTGTTCGAAGCAATAAAGGGGGCGTTGTCCAATACTGGCTACCACCGGAGCGTGTCATACTCGCGTCGCGCCTGGCCGAACGGCGGATGGCAGCTAAGACGTAACAGTGGCGACGAGCTGAACTCACTCAACGGGCACGACAAGCAAGGACAGCCCAAGAATGGCAACTGCGGCCACGGCGTTTCAAGTTCCCTTCTTCCACGACGCAGAAGATAAGTGGGAAACTTATGTTGTTCGAGTTGAAGCCTACTTTGAAGGAAATGCTATTACCGAAGATAAGAGGAAGCGCGCACTGTTGGTAGCCGCGCTCGGCTCCAGGCCGATTGGAATACTGTGCGGAATATGCGCGCCTCGAAGGGTCAACGAACTGACGTACAAGGAAGTTGTCGGCATCCTGGGTCGACACTACGCGCCCAAGCCTAACGAAATAGCTGAAAGCTACAAGTTCTTCAATCGGCCACAGCGGGAAGGCGAGTCGGTGCAAGACTTCATCGTGGAACTGAGGAAAATTGCGGAAAATTGCAATTTCGGAGACAGCTTGGACCGCATGCTGCGGGATCGCATTGTTTGCGGAGTGCGAAACCAGACAGTCCAACGTCAACTACTGGCAAGGCGAGACCTGACTTTGGCAGAGGCAGAAGATTTAGCTACCGCGGCAGAGGTAGCCACAAAGCAGGTAAAGAACATGGAAAGCCAGGAGGTGAAAAATGAAGCGGAGCTACACAGAATAGCCGGAAAGTCCCGAAAACAGCCAGACCTGGGAAGGAGGTACAATACAAGAAAAGAAGAATGCGAGCGATGCGGAAGCAGTTCACATGCACGGGACGCGTGTCGGCACAGATTCGCCAGATGTTTCCGATGCGGCAGACAAGGCCATTTCGCGAAGAAATGTGGGGCGCATAATGACGTTGCAACTCCAGGACGACCAATCTCGACGATTGGAGCTGCGACGGCGTCAGAGGGAGAGGACCTGGACTTGGCATCAGTGTACACGGTACAACCTCGAACACGGGCAAGTTTCGAACCGCCGGTCCGAAGGCAGATCTCCTGGGGGGGAGTACGACTGACCATGGAAGTCGACACGGGCTCTCCTGTTTGTGTTATTCCCCGTGAAGTGTACAATGAGCACAAGGGCCATTGGCCGGCGCTGTCGGCAACCAAGCTGAGTCTCCGATGCTAGTTGGGACAGCTGCCCATCCTCGGGGAGCTACACATGAGGGCGACCGTCCATGACGTCACGGTGCCGGCTTCGCTCGTGGTTGTGAACTGCCCCGGACCAAGCCTGTGTGGTCGAGACGTAATCGGCAAACTGAACTTACTGGACGGTCCCGGTGACCATCTTTCACCTTGGCCGAAGTTGCGGACCCACACCGGTGCTCCAAGGTCCCAGGAGTCTCCTTGAACCTGCACATCGTCGGACAATAACGCAGGCCGGAACGGTACACTCATGCCCAGGCGCGAACGAATGCGGTACCCGAGAAGCATTTCCCCTGGGGACTTGCCACACGCTAAAGGCGTCCGACGATAATTTATCAGAAGCTGCGCCAGCCTTTTTCCCACGTTGGACCCTCTGGTGTCAAGCGTGGTTGCAGGCTCAACGAGAGAGCTGGAGGACCTGCTGTTGCAGTTTCAGGACCTGTTCGAGCCAGGCCTGGGAACCATCAAGGGGCCACCGGTACGGTTTCATTTGAGGGAGGGAGCGGTGCCGAAGTTTATGAAGGCACGACCTGTTCCATACGCGCTTCGCGACAAAGTGTCAGAGGAGCTGGATCGGTTGGTAGAGGCCGGAGTTATCTCACCTGTCAGCCATTCGGAGTGGGCAGCACCGATTGTACCGGTGCAGAAAAAGAACGGCTCAATACGCCTGTGCGGCGATTTTAAGTTGACAGCGAACATGGCGTGCAACACAGAGCAGTATCCGCTACCTAACATAGCTGATATGTTTTGCGTCGTTGCGGGGCGGTTCTTTATTTAGCACCTTAGACCTTAGGGATGCTTACAGCCAGGTGGCATTGGATGAAGAGTCGAAGGAATTAACAGTCATCAACACCCATCGTGGCCTTTACAGCTTCAATCGCCTTCCGTTTGAAGTTGCTTCCGCGCCGGCGATTTTTCAGAGGAAGATGGAGAGCATGCTCGCAGATCTGGAGGGCGTGCAAGTGTACCTGGACGACGTCCTGGTAGCGGAACAACCGGGAACCGACAACCTGAGCAGGGTGTTGCAACGCTTCCGGGACATGGGTGTCAAGCTTCGGCGATCAAAATGCCAATTTAGGAAGCCGGACATCACTTACCTGGGCCACCAGATCGACAAGGAAGGACTACATCCAATCGAGAAAAACTTGGAGGCCATCCGAGATGCACCGACGCCGTCAAATGTAAGCGAACTTCGCTCCTTCCTTGGGCTTTTGACGTATTATCACCGATTCTTGCCCAATATGTCGACGCTGCTAGCACCGTTATACGAGCTGCTCGGCAAGGATCAAAGGTGGAATTGGGGACCAAGGCAAGATAGGGCCGCCAAACAGGCCAAGGCCGCGCTGCTGACATCACCGGTCCTGACATTTTTTGACCCTGAGAAGCCACTGCGACTGGAATGTGACGCGTCCCCAACAGGAATGGGCGCCGTCCTATCGCACAAGATCCGGGGTGTCGATACACCGATAGCTTTTCGGTCAAGAACATTGACCTCCGCCGAAAAGAACTATTCGCAACTAGAAAAGGAGGCACTTGCGTTGATCTTTGGCGTAATCAAGTTCCGTGATTATTTACTGGGACGCGAATTCGTATTAGTCACGGACCATCAACCACTTGTGGGTCTGCTTCGAGAAGACCGGCCTGTCCCGCTACTGGCGTCTGGACGGATTCAAAGGTGGGCTCTGCTACTCAGCGATTTTCGGTACAAAATAGAATTTCGACCCGGCAAACAAAACGGAAACGCTGACGCGCTGAGTGGATTGCCACTTCCACGGCAAGGACCACCAGTGGAAGAGGACCTCCCGGAATTTGTGCTGACGTTGCACCGCGTAGACGAAGCATTTATGTCCGCGCAGCGGCTAGAAGACTTGATGAAAACAGACGATACGTTGTTGCAGGTCATCAAGTACGTGCAGAACGGCTGGCCTGCTAGCCTTCTGAAGAACCAGACAGAGGTACAGCCTTATTTTTCCCGGAAGCTCGAGCTGTCTACGTGCCGTGGGTTACTTTACTGGGGCCGGCGCCTCGTGATTCCGACACGGGCCCGCCCGGACATCCTGAAGCTGCTGCACGAATCTCACCAGGGGGTATCAGCCATGAAGAGAAATGCGCGGTCGTTGTTTTGGTGGCCGGGACTGGACCGGGAGGTGGAACAACTGAGCGGAAATTGTAACGAGTGCGTACTAGCCGCCCCAATGCCGTCTGCGTGCTCACCGGTGCATTGGCCAGAAACAAAAGAAAGATGGTCGTGAGTGCACATCGATTTTGCAGGACCAGTTGAGGGAAGGATGTTGCTGATAGTCGTCGATTCCCATTCCAAATGGATTGAAGCTTGCATCATGCGATCAACAACGGCAGAGGCGACTGTGAATCAACTCCGAGAACTGTTCAGCAGGTTCGGTCTGCCCAGAACAATCGTTTCTGATAATGGACCTCAGTTCATTAGTCAGCATTTTGAAAACTTTGTGAAAAGAAACAATGTGTGTCACCTCCGCTGTGCGCCCTATCATCCTCAGTCTAACGGGTTGGCTGAACGGGCAGTCAGGACGATCAAGTTCGGCCTCGCTAAGTTAACTGGGGGAGATTTGGGAAAAAGGCTGGCGCAGCTTCTGATAAATTATCGTCGGACGCCTCTAGCGTGTGGCAAGTCCCCAGGGGAAATACTTCTCGGGTACCGCATTCGTTCGCGCCTGGACATGAGTGTACCGTTCCGGCCTGCGTTATTGTCCGACGATGTGCAGGTTCAAGGAGACTCCTGGGACCTTGGAGCACCGGTGTGGGTCCGCAACTTCGGCCAAGGTGAAAGATGGTCACCGGGGACCGTCCAGAACAAGCTCGGGTCAAGGATGCTGGTCATCGAGACTCCGGAGGGAACAGTCCGTCGACACATGGACCAGGTCCGCGGCAGACAAGGTCCGACTGAAAGTCTGGGTGGCCCTAAAAACGGTTCGGACAACGTCGGGCCGCCAGTGACACTAGGACAGCCGGACAGCCAGGGGCCACCGAGCGAGCAAGACGTGCCAGCCCCCGACGGTCAAGACCAACCAGCCTTACGACGCTCAACGCGGACACGGAAACCGATCGATCGTTTGCAATATTAAGAGAAAAAGAAATGTTGCGTTGTCATTGTTTACATCCTGTCTATTCGCTGTTATCAAGCCGATAGCAGTTTCCCAGTTGACTTCACTAGTCGTGGCGTTCCCTATATATCTGTGTTCGAAGCAATAAAGGGGGCGTTGTCCCATACTGGCTACCACCGGAGCGTGTCATACTCGCGTCGCGCCTGGCCGAACGGCGGATGGCAGCTAAGACGTAACAATTAGAAGTGAATAATCAAAATAAGATAGCACTTAAAAGAATGGGCAGTTGGGCTGGTTGGGAAGCGTTCATGGTGAAAAACAGAGCGAAACGCACGGAGACAGAGAAGAGAAATTCAGTTCCTTGCGTTTAGCGCTGTTTTAGAGCGCAGCTCTTAAGGGCCCGTTTCCGGCTTGAGCGGCGTCGCCGTAACTGCGCGGTCACGTGACCCCCAGGTCCCCCAGGTCACGCGACTCCCCAAGTCACGTGACCCCCCTCCCCCCCGAGGTCACGTGACTCCTCCCCCCACGGTCACGTGGAGGGAGGAGGAGGAGACGAGGGGACAAGGTTGAAGGATCAGGGGAGGAGGAGGAAGTGAAGAAGAGGAGGGGGTGGAGGAGGAGGAGGAGGAGGACGAGGGAGGAGGGGAATAGTAGCAGGCAGGATCACGAGGGGAGGAGGAGGGAGGAAGGGCATACCTTACCTTCAGTGCCCTTCCCTCGTCCTCCTCCTCAAGAGCTGCGCTCTAATTCGGCGTTACTGGGAGTTGTAAACGGCTTTCATTTGTAGAGCGCAGCTCTTAGGCGCCCGTTTCCGGCTTAAGCGGCGTCGGCGTCGACGTAACCGCGCGGTGCATTATGGGAAATGTCCCATAATGCACCGCGCGAGCCCCCCCCCCCCGGGGTCACGTGACCTCGGGGGGGGGGGGGGGGCGGGGCACGTGACTCCCCCCCCCCCGAGGTCACGTACCCCCCGAAGTCACGTGACTCCCCTGAGGCCACGTGACTTCTCCCGAGGGTCCCGTGACCCCCGATGACGTCATCGTCACTGGTGACGTCACCGGCATCCGCATCGTCATCGTCATCATCACTGATGACGTCATCAGTGACGTCACTATTGACGTCACCGGCATCCGCATCGTCATCATAACTGATGACGTCATCAGTGGCGTCACTGATGCCGTCACCGGTATCAGCATCGTCATTATCACTGATGATGTCATCAGTGACGTCCTGATGACGTCACCGACATCCGCGTCGTCATCGTCATCATCACTGGTGACGTCATCAGTGACATCACTAATGACGTCATCGGTATCAGCATCGTCATCGTCACTAATGACGTCATCAGTGACGTCACTGATGACGTTATCGGCATTGTCATCGTCACGTGACCCTCAAGGTCACGTGACCCCCCCCCCGGTCAGTACCCTTCCTTCCTCTTCAAGAGCTGCGCTCTAATTCGGCGTTCCAGGGAGTTGTAAACGACTTTCACTTTTTCACCCCAAGATAGAATTGTTTTAAAGCAAAATAGATTTTTGCTTTCAAACAGTTATAAGGCTGCAGACATCAGCACGTGTTGCACGTGTAGCTCCACTTCAGCAGGCTCCTAGCGAAAAGCCTGACAAGACTCTGCAACCGGGAGTTTTGTTGATTCTATTTTTTGTGTGGACAAACGCTTGTATACACTCCAAGCATGGCTTTCTAAGATGGTGCAGGGCTGAACGAAAACACCCTACTTTGTATTTGGAAATTAAAAAAAAAATTAGTTAAATGCATTGCAAAGATGGCTAAAATACGTATTCCGAAATACATGTTTTTTTTATGAATCATTAGTTGATACTGCTCATTCTCCAAATACCTGGTGTGGTGGCTATTGGATATGAGGGAAAAAACATTTACTGGATATTTTCTCAATCAACAAACAAGTGCTTACTGAAAGATGCAAATTGAATTTGACGCTTGCGTTTTGGTGCCCGAAAAATGTCTTTCGTAAATTTAACACTGCGTTTTGCGGATTGGTAAGAGAACCAAGCAGTCCTTCAATAGGTAGAAAATACCTTTCTACCAAAAGTGAAGCGTAGGTTTCTTTTTTTCTTTACCTTTGTAAGTTTTAGGCAAAATCACATGAATCTCTAAATCAGTTCAGTGTCTTATAAATAACCTTCATAGTTCACTATGCTCTTGACCGTTAAGAACACCTCTTCTAAAACTGATCTTACTATGTCACGGTGGAATAAACCGGTGCTATCCTATCTGTATCGACTAAGGTCCCTCGATGTGTTTGCGTTTGCCTGGCAAGTAGCATCAAATGCGCCACTCCTTGAGGCCCGCGTCTCGATCGGCGCTTGGAAGGGGATGGCTGTGCAGCACTAAAAGGAGCGGACCCTGGAAGCGAATGGCATTGGAGCACTGCTCCTGGTGCGTGTCTTGCGCTTTTCCACAACAGTGGCGGTACTTGAAAGCGCGAACTTTGTCAAGGGACTTTAGATTGCCTTTGTCGGCAGAGCCTTAAAAGTTTGGAATCTACGATGATAGTCGACCTTGAAGTAGTGGGAAACATTTCTTACCTTTGGAGAACAGAACAGGCTGTCACGTATGACCAAACACTAAACGTCCAAAAGGAACCTTAGTGTGCACAATAACGAAGCATTAACATCTCCTTCACTGCATCCTCCATCTCTCACAAGAAAAAAAAATATCGAGAAACGTTAGCTTGAATTTTTGTCTAGAGGGTCATGATTTGTTGAAAATTGCAGCGAAATACCTCGACCCTTGAACGTAAACGATACCGAAAATACAACTGAAAATATATTTCGATATAATCGCGAGAAGCACATTTCTGGGAGGTTCCTGTGCTCAAGCTAAAGTAGTTCTTTTCACTACCTTGTCCTTGAGCTCATTGATGCTCAACAGACCAGAAGTATGACGGTAAGAGCGGGACAGCACTTGGTTGAAGGCAGCTTTCTACTAGTCGGAATTGCAAAACCATCGACATGAAGTTCCATGAAAGCCAAAGTGAGGGGCGTTCATTGCTTGTGGACGCTGCAACACCATTACTATTTTCAGACATGAGTTTTCTCTGTATGAAGTTGCGTGCTGTTAATGAAAGAACGGTCTGGGTAATATGTTGGCTGAACTATTATCTCAGCTTCAATTTTACTGAGACTGCATATTGTTGTACCTCAGTTTAGCGCATATCGTGTATAGACTAAGTGTATGTGTTGCACTTTCTTTCATATTGTATTGTTTATCTCATGCTGTATGGAGCACACACGTTTTCTGTCGGGTTAGGCTCGAGTTAATGCACATAACGTTGTCTCACTTGTGTCCCATTTGTGTCCCACTTGTGGAGAGACCGGAGAAAATTCGCACTGGAGTGTGTGGAACTAGGGGGTCACATTCCTTGACCTTATGGCGACTGTCATAGTGTGCACACTGCTTGCCCTTGAATGCCAGGCTTCTTTTCCAGCAAAGCCGGCTGTTCCACCTTGATTGAAACATTCTGGAAACGGTTGGTACGTTGGATCGTGTCCTTTGTCCCCTGAGGAGTTCCGCTGAGGAGTACCTGCAGTTGCAGGGCTGTCGCGGTAAGCTAACAGTGTTTTGTGGATGTTAGGCTGTCTCTTGAGGAGCCGCTTCGCGCTCTGTACAGGTTTTTCTCCGGCATCATTAATCTTTTAGTGGTAAGAGATACTTGTTACATTGGGCGGCCCCACTCCTCCTCAAACGACTTGATTTGTGCAGAAGCCAATCAAGACCCATTTCTAACCGGATGGGAGCAAGTGCTTCGAAGCTAGCAAATATTTAACTGGATGTTCGCGCGATGTTTTGGGTTGTCCTCTAAAGTTTCGGAAGTTAGACGATCCTTGATAAATAGTTCAATACTATGAGGGAGTTCTTGTTGGCTTTGTTCAAGAGGTCCATTCCAACCACTTCCATGAATGGTTCGGGAGTGACGTGCGTAGTGGGGCCTCTGTGCATGGCCTTTGGTGTTCTTTGCACGCTGGACGTCTTGATCCATAGTCTTCAATGTGCTGGTCGATTTCTGGCTACCAAACAGACAGGCGGACTCAAGTTTTGCATCTGCCTAAGCCCTGGTTGCCTAGGTGCAGGCTTTCCAGCACCTCTCTCTGCCTTGGTAAGATTACTTTTCGATATTTTCTTGAGGAGAAGTCATGGGAAACTTCGGCATGTTGCTGTACTGCCAGAAGCGATGAGAAATCTGTGGGCCAATGTGTCTTAAAGTAGTTCTTGACTCTTTCAATATTTTGATATTTTTATTACGCCTTTGATCCGTTGCAGCCTGTTGGCTGAGGCAGATGGAAGTTCTATTTTTGGGCAACCGATGCTCTTTTATGTGCGTGTCGAGGCTTCTTGGCCTGCTGCTGTTCGTTTCTTCTTGCGGCTTCCGTGAATGTACATCCGCTGTGTGAAGCTCGTTTTCGAGGATGTAGGGGATTGTGATGTCAAACTTAAGCAGTCTCATTCGCAAACATTGTAAACGTGTACTCAGCTCACTTTGACAACAAAGGTGGTATGAGATGCTTGTGATCGGTATCTACGTGATTCAGCTCGAGGCTGGTGCGTTACTTATCTCAAGTAGACCTCCTCGAGTGCAACATGGCTTTGTGTACCTGAGGGGTTCCTTGTCGCTGAGAAGCGGATTGACGTAAAGTGTCCCTTCTTGCCACACCCGTTGTCAATCTTTTCAACTGCTGGGCGCTTTCCGCGCGAGTGTGGACGCGTAGGCCGTGGCGTGTGGTATGAGCCGGATCCTTACACGAGGTGCAAGGTGAGCCCTGAGAACGTGTCTAGTGCGCTAAAGAATTCTTCACGAAAGACACAATGTTCGCGCCAAGGTCCCAACCAGACGGACGTGATCCCTGTCATACTCGACGGGGAGAAAACGCTCGTTCCAATGCGCTTCCTGGCACGCTCAATCCGAGAGGCCTTTCGTGTTCACAAACTTCTAGTGTTGGCGGTTACGCGTTACAAGTAACGGCGTTACAGGTAACGTGTTACTGTTGGGGGTAACGTTTAACGTACTCGTTACTTTTTCGACAGTAACGGGTAACGTACTGACGTTACTTATTTCGAGTAACAGAGTTACGTTACTCGTTACTTTTTCTTTCCGAAACTTTAAAAAAAAAATGTTACACTTGAATTTGTTTTCTACTTTAGGCGCCAAGCCATGTGAATTATTGAGGTTTTTCGTTTTTCTTGGGTTT